TTGCAATGATTTTGGGGTAACATGCTAAAATGCCTAGCATAAGTGTGTTCAACACATGTTACCTCTCTTCAGGGCACTGGATAGAGGTAAATGGGAAATAATATTAAATATGACCTCTCTTGCCACATTTTTCATCTCAAGGAAGCACTAGATCTTACATATGCACACTAATGCCTACTCTCTCTAAACCAGTCTCTCCTTACCCATGAAAATTAATTTTTAACTCTTCAATTTTGAGTGCCTAAAGGACAGTCTCAGCACCAAGACCCAAGCAGAAACGTAAATTGAAATAAAAATTACTGTGGCTTACATACAAATAATTGAGCAATATCAAGCCTTGTGGAAGACTGAGGATGAGTAAAACAGAGATATCCTCTGCCCTGGGAACCATCCACCCAGGTTTCAATCCCAACTCTCCTCTGCTGGCTACCATTTCATGTTTGGCCTTTTTTTTTTTTTTCATCTTTCTGAGCCTCAGTTTTCTTATCTGGAAAATGGGGCTGATCACCTACCAGGACTGAATGAAGTAAAGCCCATGAAACACTCAAGCTCAGGAAATGTCTAGTATAGGACGTGCTTGATTAACTTTAGCTGAGGCTGCTGTGGCTGTTATTGTTATTTTTATCAATCCATCCCATTCTGGATTAATTCAGTCGCAAAAGTGACACAGTAGAGCTGTGAGGGGTGGTGCAAAGTGTCTGAGTGACCCTGGGAACTCACTTCCCCTCTCTGGGCCTTTGCTACATAAAGCAAAATGGAGAGATAAGACCCAGTGATCCTCTGTCACTCAATGGCACCCAGTGAACCTCTGTCATTCAATGGCTTCATGATATACTCAAGATCTGAGAGCCATGAACAAGAGAAACAAACAACAAAAAACACCAAGGGGCTCCTTAAGGCTCACAGTTCAGCGAGTCCTCCTACTCACCTTGGTTCTAGGACAGCCAACGTTTTTTTTTTCCAGAAAGCTCCTTTTTTTCCCATCGCTCCTCCCTGTGCCTTCCCCTCCTCCCTGCCCCCTTCCTCCTCCCAGGGAAGCAGAAGTTCCTGAAGTCCAGAGAGAAGGTCAGAGGTCTCCACCGGCTTGGCCAGGAGCCACCTGGACTGCTTCCTGCCAGGAGTCTTCAGTGAGCTGCTGCCCACCCCAGGGAAACCCAAATAAAGTCACCTCCCCACCCGAGAGCATTTTTCCCTTTAAGGAAAGGTTGTGTTTGGAGCCGAGAACATATTTATGTCTTGAAGGAGATTTCATCCAACCTTTTACGGACACAGTCAGCATCAAAGGGGCCCACCCAAGCCCATTTGCTACTGCTCTCAGGGGCAGACCTGGCCTGGATCCGAATAAATTACAAAGTCACTTGGCTTGTGATAAACCCTTTCTTTGTTCTTTCTTCCCTTCTTCTACCTCTGTGTCCCACCCAAGACTTCCTTGCTATGGCCAACCAGGCTTACAATCTAATCAAATTCTGTTTTTTCAAAGATGAGACTGAGGGCAATTATGCACAAGGACCATCTAATGTGGCTGAATACATTTCCACCCCCAGGAGTGTATGTCTTAATCTATGCTACCAGGTCTGGGTCTGTCCATGATTGAGGTGGCAGGCAGGCCACCTTCACTCTAGGACACCTTCAATGACAGCAGCTTCTCCATCCAGAAAGGGAAATACACCTGAATTCCCAGAGATTTGGGGAAGGTAGGAGATTTTGAGATACTGGGTAAATTTCTGCCATTCCATGAGATATTTAAGAAGATAGAGAGATGATAAATAGATGAGTATGGATAGAGATATATAGAGCAGTAGAAAGGTGTGTAGAGGAATGTAGATATGGAGTTTTCATGTCAGTTAGAAATAACCCAGTGGGACTCAGGAGTGTGGCCTGGTGACATCAGCACTGATTTTACCAGGTGGCAGTCCTGGCTTGGAATCCTGGCATGGCCATTTACTGACTACATGACCTTGAACAATTTGCCTCACACTTCCAAGCTTTAGTTTTCCCTTCTGTAAAATAAAGATGATAGTATCTGCTTTTACAGAGCTATTAAAGCAATTTGGAATTATTTATGTAAAATATCTAACATTGCTTGAGAGTGATAGATATTTAACAAGTGGTATTATTATTATTCTTATTTGCAATAGCAAGAAGACAGCCAAAAAGAACATTTTTGTGTGATGAAAATGTTCCATGTGTTGATTATAGTGGGTGTTAAACAGGTGTATACATTTGTTAAAAATGATTAAATTATATGCTTCAACTGGTACATTTTATTGTATATAAATTATACCTCAATAAAGCTGATTTTAAAATTTAAAAAGAAGAAGAAGCTCTCCAAGGCATCAACCATACATATCCCCGGGTTGAATGGGGACCAAAAAATAGTCCAGCCCTTTCATCCTTATCTCACCAAGCAGAGAGTTGGAGAGCTCCAAATCCAGGGCAATTCCTAAATAAAAGAGATATTTTCACCAGCCAAAGAGCAGCTGCTCTGGCCTTTTGGGAACAGTCCTCTGCCTTAAATCCCTTTCTTGACCACCCATGCTTAGAGACCCCCAGCGTGACTCACAGAGCCCTTAAGTCCCCATCCAGCCAGTCCCCTTCCCACTCACACACCTCCAACCAGCTATTCAGCCCACCAGCTCCCAAACACAGTATCCATCGCTTTGATCCTGCTCTTCCACTGCCTGAAGAACCCTTTCATCCCCAGGAGCCCAGCCAGAACCCATCCAGCAGAATCAACCACCACCTTCTCGGCAATCCCATCACACTTTATATTGAAGGGAGGAAAGGACAGACATGGGGGCCTCGGGGGAACTAAGCTTGCTGTGTCAGCCCCTGGCTGCTCTGTATACTATATACTACTTACTCCTTCAAACAACCACATGAGCTAAGTCTTATTAGCCCCACTTTGCAGAAGGGAAATCTAGTTCACGAGGCCTCAGACATGGTCCCAGGATTGAAAGACCCCCAAGACCATTTTCCTCTACTCCCCGTATCCCACTGACACCCAGTTAATCACAGACTGTCTGTCACCAACACTAAACTGCATGCTCTGTACACAGAGTCCATATCTTACTCTTCTCAGAAACCTCTGGCCCACATGGCCCAGGCTCAGGCCCCTGTGCCTAACACCTAGTAAAGCTTCAATAAACACTTGTCATGAATCCTTCCCTCACATCCTGGAGCTGCTGGGTCACCTTTCTGTTCATTAGAGACTGGACAGAAGGGATTCTGATCACTGAGGAATAGCATTGCCAGGTAGAATGTCTCAGCATTCTCCATGGACACAGGTTTGCTGGCAGGAGGATTTGACCTTGACCACCACCCATTTGCAGGGCCTTGGAGAAACCACTTCCTATTTCTCTTTTAACTACATTCATTTTAAAGGGAAATCTAAATTATTAGCACAAAAAGTCTAGCTTCCTGCAGTCTCTGAGCTGGTGATCACACTGTGTGAAGATGGGCCATTGGACCTAAAAGGACAATGTATACCTAAGGGCATCTTTCCCAAATTCTAGGCATAAGGGCCCAAAGAAGTCTACAGCTTAGGGGGGAACCACTGCCATGTCTGTAGAATTCACCATTTTTTGCACAGACTCCCTATGTCTGGGGATCTTCCCACAATCTGAGCCCTGCCTCTGATGTTAGAAGCTGGAATCCACTTTCCCTGGTCTCCTTCACCGCTAGTGCCAGCATATGGCCTGGGCTTCCCCAAGCATGCAAGTGGGAGAATCTACATCAAAGGAGAACAAGCTGAGGACCCAGGAGCTGCGTGGAATCTGTTTTGTGGCTGAGGTGGAGGAAAGGCAAAAATTACCGAGGACAGCAGGGGTGGAAGAGCTGTGTCCAGTCCCAGCAGAACTTCACGGTGCAAGCAATGTGGTCCCCACAAGAACTAGATAATTCAAGGATGGCTCCTTCCTGAGCCATAATTCTCCAGAGATGCTGTGAGCTACCTAATATGCTTCACTAAATTTGTTTTCTGCATAAACAGGTGGGGAAGGTTCTGTTGCTTGCATTTAAGATACTAGACACATGCAAACCTCATGCACACCAGCCTTGCAAAACAAAACCTATTCAAACCAAACATACTTCACAGTGATAGCTGACCCCCAAAGCTTGATGGGGATCTCATGGGCCTAGAACATGCTGAGTGCCAACTACCTACATGTTTAAATAAGATGTAGAGAGGCCGCTTTTCTAGGCTGCATCTCGGGCTCTCAACCCAAGGCCAGAGAAGGACAAGGACAGGTATTCAGTAAGGCTCTCCGGTGCGGTGGGCTGTCTTTGTGACTCAGAAGATCATATCGCTGAAGGAGTTTCCAGAAATGGTTGGAACAATGGCAGCATCACTAGAAAGAAGTCTGTCACCTCCCACAGAAGCGACTTGGAGGGAAAACATGTGGGGTGTTTTTTTTTAATTTGCAATTCTGAAGCATTTGCTAAAACGTCACTTCCATGACGGGTTGTGGCAGAAAACACCAAGTGTCAGAACAGTTTTGTTTCAGTTCTGCTGCTGACCTCCTATGTGTTTATTTCCCTTCTCCAGGCCTCAGTTTCCCTGCCTGTAAAATCAGAGTGTTGATCTTTGCTCCCCGTGACCTCTTTCGGGATATTTCCCTTGCAAAAAGCGGACTTTTTTTATACCTGTGCCATTCAACTAGGACTACCAGGTATGGCTCTACAGGTTGCCCAAGTAGGGTGTGTCCTGCCCAAGAATGCCCACCTGAGGGGTGAATAAAATCCAGCCCACAGTCCCCACCTTATGCGTCCCACTGGAGAAGAGGCATTTTTTTCTAATTTGCACAAAAGCATATGGGCTAACCATGGCCCTACTTATAGTTATTTCATACCCATGCCCTCCTCCTCATTGGGCTCCTTCTACTCTTCTCTTAGTCATTATTCCTTCTTTACTGCACACTTTAGCTCCTGGGTACAATCATATTCACTGCCTTCTTCCTACAATAATTCTCAGAACGTCAATATATAGAGAGAGAACTCACCCAACAGCTTGGACTCTCCATTTCTTGATGTCTTTGACCCCCAACAATCTTGTTCTTCTCTCCACTTCAGCTATCCACTCAATAGTTACACCATAGACCCTGTCATTACCAGAAATCTCTATTTTGAAATCTTGTTCTTTGACCTCCACTACCCACTCCTCCAGCTCACTTGCCGTAGTGGGGCCCCCACTCCCACATTTCTTGTCCCTTTTAATGACCACTAACCTATGTCTACCACATGTCCATATGTCTACCTCCTGTCTTTGCTTCCTTCCTTATAGAAGTTGATTCCATTGCACTTCTTTATATCTACTCTCTTGCAGACAACCCTGATACCTCATGCCTCTCTCCTCTGTCACAATCACCTTGCAAGCTCCAACACTTACTGAGCATCTTCTCTGTGCTTGTAGCCACAGCAGCTAAATGCTGCCAGAGAAAATCGCACAGCCTGACTAAATGATTCCCCTTTAAATTCATGGACACAACTCTCAAAGGAGAGAATCTGCACTATATACTTCCCTAGGAATTTTGCTTTTTCGTTGCCCAAGATGATACTTTAAGCCTTCAAAACTTTATATACACCTTTCACTACCTCCTGCACACCTGATGAACTCATCTTACAAGTCACTTGAAAATTAAACATCACAATACCAGGGTTCCCTCATTTTCCCACCACTAAAGTCTAGCAACTTACCTGCTTCTTAACTCCTCCATGTGAGGACACAGTGAGAAGACAGCTTCCAATGAGCAAGTGGGATCTCACCAGACACTGAACCTGCCAGGGCCATGACTTTGAACTTCCCAGCCTCCAGCACTGTGAGGAGTGTATGTTTGTTGTTAAGAAGCCATCAAGCTTATGATATTTAGTTCTAGCAGCCCAAATGGACTGGAACACTATTGATTACTTCTTATGTGCCAGAAACTGTGCAAGATCCTTGCAAACATTACTCATGGAACCTTCAAACCAGTACTATGGGTAACCACTTTTATTATCCCATTTTATAGATGAGAAAGCAGTCCATTGATGAATATTATGTCCCAAATCTTTGCTCCCCTGAGTGTGTTCCTTGGACCAACAGCATCCACCATTGCCAGAAGTCTTTTAAAGAAACAACATCCTCTGGACACACCCCAGACCTACTGAATCAGAATCTGTATTTTAACAGCATCCCCAATGATTCTTCTGCACACTAAAGTTAAGAAATACTTGTCTTGATGACACAAACAAAGAAGAGTTGGGATTCAGACTAGACCTGTCTAATTGTGCCCTTAACAGAATGGACAACAGGAAACTAACATCATAGTTTTGAATAAAACAAGCTAAATCATCACTAACACAAGTTGGACATATCAATACTACCTTTTATTGTCTGTCTACTCTAACAAGTATCCCTTCCAAAACCATCTATAGTATAGAAAAGAGATAACTTTGTGACATGAAAAGCAAGCAGGCCTGGGAATTAAGAGAGCCCCACCAACCAACTTAGCTACTACCTATCAATGACATTTAAAAAGTCACTTACCCTCCCAAGGGTTTACTTCCTTCATTAGCGAAGTAGGAGGGTAAGAGCATTCCTTGCCAACTCAATTATGCTGTGTTTTTCATGCCAGCATGTTGGGCTGCTGGGATTTCCACAGTCAGAATGGAATCACTTCCTCCTCCAGCCTCAACATCTGTCTTTAGTCAACTCCTTTGGTAATTGCTGTTCTGCTTTTCCCAAACATAAAATAGCTAATTATTAGCACAGCAAATAACAATCACCTTCCAGGGGCCCTGATAGCCTAATGACAACCCCAATACAGAACTGGCAGCCAGCTGAATCCCAGGGATGCTCAAGGGCTTCCGGGTCTCATCCCGGAAACCAACTAACCACTATATCGGTGCATCCTTTTTCCTAATGGTAAGGGTCATATCCATGCTCTTCAATCCCGGCACCTTGGGATGACAGTCCCCAAACTCTGGGTCACTATTATCCCTGCTGCCAAAATCTGTTCTCTGCCAAAGAGACCAAACCAGCCCCCCTAGAATGAAGCTTTGGGTCTCTCTCTTATCACCAGACGCCACTCCATCCCCATCATACAGGAAAACCTCTTGAACTTATGGACATATTCCAGACCCTGAAGAAAGACTGCCAACTCTTCTTGGATGCCCTTAAACCTGGACCAGATTTTCTTAAGGTCCGGAAGGGAAGTTTCCCTGGGTATTTTTATAGAAGGGGGAAGTCCAAGATTTTATTTTTTACTCAATTTGTACATCCCACCATCATGAGAGTCCTTCCTCCATGAACATAGTTTCCCATTAACTGACTCAGTGCCAGCTCCAGTTGGCTCACCGATAACTTCCACAGGAAGCCAACCAGCCTCGCATACCACCATCCAGCCAGAGAGACCTGAAGACAGAGTGTTCAGCATAAACACTGAACTGGTCATTGCAAAGCTATACTTCGAGAAATTCAACTTACAAGAATATCAGAAGTGCCCCGCAGAACATGGCTTAACTAATTCCTGTGTTCTGGCACTGTGGTTCCCAAGCAGCGGCTCAAAGAGGAAAAGGCTATCGGATGTAGTTGACTCAGTGGTTAGTAATCTTAGTTCTCACCAACCTCAGTGCATCACCAATCTTTACCTTATCTTTCTAGACTTTTTAAAAAGCAATCAATTTGTTCACTTTAAGCAAAAATCAGTGTTTCTCACCTTTCCTCCTGAACTTTCTTTATCCAGCTGTTCAATCATTTAAGCAAACACCCTTTGAGCAACCTGCCCCAATCCAGGCATCAGGAGTACAGAGATGTGTAAACACAGCTCCTACTCTAGAGGAGCTGCCCATAGAGCAGAGGAGACAGACGAGCACACAGAGCCATTACATTGCAGCCAAAAAGGGCTCTTCTAGAAATATGTTCCCACTGAAGTAGAAGACAAGAAGGGTGCTGACTGTGTAGGGTAGTTCAAGCAGATTTGGGGAATCCACTTCTCATTATCCTCTGTCCATATAGGAGGCATCCTTGAGTAGGCAAGAAATGTGTCACACGACTAAATAATAAAGTACAGAACAATATAGGGTAAGATGCCCACTGAATACAATATGCTTTTGTCTCATGTCCCCAGGTTTCCAGTCATTCAGGCCAGAAATGAGCCCTAGGATGCTTTGGAGGTGGGAGAGAATGCCACATTTGAAACCAGGTGGAGCTGCAGGTGACCTGTGTTTTCAGCCAGTGCATTGACCCATCTGTGATCACTCATCGTTACACAGCAGAAGACGGGTGGGTGCCTCCATGGCACGCTGTGCTTCCTGCAATGATGCTACTACACTTTACTACTCATTGTTAAACTGCCAGAGAGCAGGAATCACTTGTCTGTTATTTATTGCTCTCTCCTTATCATCTAGCATATGCCTGGTACATGGAAATAAAAAATATTTGTTTTAAAAAGTACACAGAACAAAATACCGGACATGTGCTTCTCAAAATTGTCAGGGCCAACAAAAACAAAGTCTGAGAAACGGTCCTAGTGTGGAGGAGCCTAAGGAGACGAAATGACTAAATGCAATGAGGTCTCCTGGATAGGATCCTAAAACAGAAAAAGGACATAGGTAAAAAGGAAGGAAGGCTGAATAATGTATGGGCAGTTAGTAGTAATATAGGGTGTCCCAAAAAATGTATACACACTTTGAATAATTATTCATTCCAATAGGTTAAATCTGAAAAGAAATGTCCATTGGACTATCAGCTTTTAGTGGTGTATACGTTTTGGGGGGACATCCTATATGTCAATATTGGTTCATTAATTGTGACAAGTATGTCCTACTAATGTTCGATGTTAATAACCGAAACTGGATGTGGAATATATGGAACTCTCTGTACTCATGCTTCTTAAAACTACAACTCTTCTAAAATAAAAGGTGTATTAACGAAACTATGGCTAACCATCTCCCAGCACCTTTGTGCCCACCCACTCCCCAGTTAGTGATCCATCATTGCTTTGACCCTCTCCACTTGTTCTTCATAGCCTCAGTAAAAGACCCTTTCTCTTTTCTAAATCTGGAAACATGGAACATGCTCTTGCCTGGCAGTGAGAAGCCTAAGTTCTAGTCCCACCTCTGCCATCTTTCCAACATAAGACCTGTATAAATCAGTCCTCCTCTGTGGGCCTTAATTTACCCATTTATTGAATGGGAAGGTAAGGCTAGAAGGTTCTTCAAGTTGCTCCATGAAGACAGAGATCATGTCTGGTCCACCTCTGTATCCTCAGCTTCTAAGAGTCCCAGACGCATCGTAGGTCTGTTGAATGAATAAATCAATGAATATTGCTTGATGCTCTAACATTCAAACTACAAATTGAAACTTCTAGTATCGGCCCAACATCTCCAAATCTCCTTTCTTGTGCACTTAATTTTAAGTTCTGAGTCATGTCTTTGTGACTCTAACATCGCTCATAGCAACTTTACAAGCATTTTGGGCAATAAGTGAAAAGAGCTGCACCCGATGAATCAGGCCTTGCGAGCTTCAAACACCCTGGAGTTCAGACAGAGTGGTACCCGCTGAGATGGCAGGATAATCATAGCAGGATCCTATTACGCTGAGTGTCATTCTAGTCTCAGGGTGGTCTTCCCACGGGATCCATCTACCCCTTTTTAGCATCTTTTTCCAACAGGCCCAGTGTGAGAGTGCCTCTTTAGGAGACCCTGACAGATAACTTAGAGAAAAGTAGCTCAAGCCCAGGGGGGAGAAAAACTAGAAGCCACACAAAAAATCTCTGGCTCCCCTACATTGTTTAGAGACCCAGATTTTAGTTCCAGCCCCAATCTGCTTGTCATCCACACCCTGAGACCTGGGCAAGCTTTTTCCCATGCCTCTGCCTGGCTCACCTCCCAGAGCTGAGGTAGGGTTGGGGTGAGAACCAGATGAGCTCTCTTTCCAACTCTTCAGAGGGGCTGCATGCTCTCTTATATGTGGGTATTTCCTCTGCAAGGAGTGGTTTCTCCATACATCGCTCACCCTCACCCTGCAAGAGCAGCCTCCTGGCATCCATCGTGTACCTAAAGTCTCCCCTGACACCCGCCCAGACTCATTCCATCATTTAGATAAGGCCCTCCACACACTTCTACATTCCCTTTCTTCAAGCCACACTCCAGCATAATCACCCATTCAACTGTCTGTTTCCAACACCAGACTGGCAGCCCCAGGGTCCTGTTCACCGCTTGATCCTGTGCCCAGCATGTTCCTTGGCACCTAAGTAATAAATAAGAACTTGTTGAAGAAACAGGTGAGTGAGTGAGTGAGTGAGTGAGTGAGTGAGTGAGTGAAGAAATGTGTGAACACGTGAATTATTAAGTGCTCTATAATCTTACAATTTGGGGGGGGGGTAGCTTACCTCAAATTTCCCTAGAGAGTTGGTGAGGCTTTTTCAGCATCTGTAACAAAATTGTGTGACTAGGTTGTTGTTACAGTTGTAAATTCCCACAGGGTTTTCCCTGGTGTGTTTCAGAAGACTGAAAACAAGCACTGATACCCTGTCTTCCAACTCCTCCCTGCCTCCCAATTTCTGCTTTCCACCTACCTCCCCACGCTCTGTCTCTATTTCTCTCTTTGTCTCTGTCTCTCCTTTCTGCTGTCTCTGTCTCCATCTGTTTCTTTTCCCTTCCCTTCCCCCTCCTCTCTCTTTCTCCCTCTCTCTTGTGCATCGTCCACCCTCCCTGTCCCATCTCCATCCTGCCTCATCCACCCACTCCTGGAGCACTCTCCACGTATGATCCACCTGTGGCAGGCACCTTACAGATGACACCTCACTTTCAATCTTACCCACCTGGAACAGCCTCATTTGTACTTTGGGAGGAACAGTGCATGAGCTTTGGTGTTAGACTTGGCTGGTTCTAGCCTGGCTCTCCGATGAACTGGCTGTGTAATCTTGGTCAAAGGACCTAACTAAGCTCTCTGATCCTCAGCATCCTTATCAACAAAATGAGGTTGAAATGTCCCTGGCAGAGGATTGCAAGGATTAAGTGAGATAATGCTTGGAAAATGCGAGTGCTGTGGTAAATGCAGTAAATGTGACCTCTCATGTTCCTACCCGTTCTACCACAGTGACTGCGTCTGTGTTATCTGCAAACATTCTTAGTAGCAGAGGTCTTTGTGGAAGATAGTGAACACATCTTCATTCCAGCCCTGTCCTCCCCCAATTCCATAACCATCCAGAGCCCGGTTGCCTCTGCCTCTGACTCTCTAGTCTTTTTGTGCCCATGTTAATTTGGACAGAATCTATGTAGATGGAAACATATCCAAACGTGTCCTCCCCCAAAATCATTTGAGGAATTTTTAGTAATTATAAACTGTGGGGTAAGTCCAGGAGATTTGAATTCATTGGTCTGGGTGACAAAAAGCATGAGTGTTTACAAAACCATCCAGAGTGACTCTGATTGGAGAACAAGCATTGGAACTTCTGGTGTAACTGAATGGATGCTCATGTGATAATGAATGAATGAGTCAATAGGGGATGATAGATGAATAAAGGGATCAATTAATCCTATATAATAAAAGGCTAAAATGCAAATTGCTCCTCTACTGGGAGTTCGACCGAAAGTTCCACCAGGGAGTGAGGTTGACCCACCAACCACCTGCGGTCCTTCCCCTCACCCGGCCCTGATCGGGGGTGGGCCTCTAGTGAATAAATAATAGGTCTACCTTCACAGGAAGAAATGTTAATATTTTCCCTCAGATCTGTGCTCCAGTCTCCAAAATGTGTGCCCATTTGTTCTAGGCTTTTCCAAACACAAAAACTTAGCTGCTCCCCATCCCTTTATTTCCTTTGCCTTCCCCCTGATCCCATCCTGAAAGCTTTGCTTCCCTGGGGTCTATTTCCTCCATCTTCTTGCAGCTTCCCCATGTCCTTTCCAGTTTCCCACTTTAGTCCTTTTAGCTTCCACTTCCCTTCTTATTCTCTCTCAGTTGTGCTCACACAACCTCCCACTGTAACATCTGTAAATTGGGGGTCTTTTTGGCATCCTAAGACACTTGTGTGAGAAAGGTCTTTGAACACAATAGTTACACAAAACAGATTTATTTGATGAACCACAGTGACCAACAGGGTCAGAAAATAGCATAGACATTCCAAGAAGGGGCAGGCTGGGGACAAGGGAGGGACACTGCAGGCAGCCTCCTCCACCCTCTATCCAGGACCACTGATGAGTTCCAGGCGGGAGGTCTCTGCAAGTCCCCAGGAGGCTCTCTGAGGGGCACACCCTCTTCCCTTCTAGAAGCTTCTTTCACCCTTGGCTGGATGCTTTGAGGACAGCCCTGGGCTGAGAAAGTAAGTCTGTGGAAGATGCTGGCTTATGACGGGGAGATTACTAAGCTGAGTCTCTCCATTCTCCTCCTCCTCCTTCCACTCCCAGAGCTGGCCTCATCCAAGCAATGACCAAGATGTCCATTTACACCAAGCTGGGCTCTTCCTGCCTCCGTGGCTGATGTCTTGTCCTTCACGTCTAGAATCCTCCAAAGACAAAACCCGGAACATACACACCCTGCCCCCAGCTCACAAAGGCCGGACCATCAATGTCACCCTCAAGGTCTCTCTGGATGTGTGGACTCATGCTGTCAGCCCTGCACGGCTGCTCCAGGAACTGCTCTTAGCCCCCAACCAAGCGAGAGAAGCCAAGGGGTCCAATCCTGATGGTGGAGTGAGAAAAACCCACAGGGCTCTTCACCCCATGGCAAGCAGATGTCCCCCTTTAGGAAGAGGGTCACAGACCCCGGAAAAAGGGAGGGTGCTGAAGGAAACACCCATAAACTCAAAGCAAGGTGAGAAGGCGTGAGAACGGGGCCCAGGGAAGCTTTCCACCAGCCTCCTGGTTCCCTCATGGAACTAGGGAAGGTCTGGGGACCCAGCACATGGGACCATAGTTCGTCCCCAAGCCTCAGTGTCAGCAGCTCTGGGGAGGGATGTCCCTACAGGAAGCCAGGAGCAAACACAAACACAGGCTTCTCTCTTAAAGCACGGACCAGCCGTCAGAGCCCCCAAATCCAGTGGGGGTGGGCTCCCTTTTATTCTATATTGCCTCAATATGCCCCTTCTTCTCTCAAACATACTGTGTGAAGAATAGAGATGGGGGGTTCATCCAAGTGACAAGTGACACAGGCACACTGCTGTCATGCTATGTTCACCCAGGCTTACATATATATACATATACACACACAAGGCAAGCATCTCCACCACATCCAAAGTTGACTCTTGGCACGGAGTAGCACCAGTGCCCAAGAAACGCATCCTGGGGTGATGGGTGGAGTGGGGTAAGCTCAGCTCTGAAGGAGGTTGGGGCGGGGGGCAAGATTGTGGGAGAGAAGCCAAGTCACATGTAGACCAAATGCTGACTCTCCTTTTTCTCCCTGTCCCTTCCCAACCCCCCATTCACAGGAGGAATCCAAGGAGCCCATTGCTTGTGAACCCACTGCCCTTCAGTTCCCTCAGAGATGAGAGGATGAATGACAGCGTCCCAGGAAAACTGCAGAAAGCACGTCTGGTTGGCATCATGGATGGGCTGCAGGAAGGGAGCCCCCAGAGGTGCCTGAAATCACAGCACTCTGATGCGATTTGGGGGAAAGTTTTGGAGCTCCTGCAGACTGGAGTGCTAGTGCTAACTTGTCCCTGACACCCAGCCCGCCCCCGCCCCCAGCCCGTTCCCTTGGCTTTCTCAGAGAACAGGATAAAGAGTGTTTACAAGCTTCGGGATTCTTAACCCTTAGGAGCCCCTCACAACAAGGAGGTAAAAAGAGGAAGAAGAATGGATTAAGGGGAGGAGTGAGCTATGGGAGAGGGGCGGGAGCCAGAGCTAAGGATTCAGAGGGGGAAAAACTATACAGAGATAGAGGGAAAAACAAAGGGAGGGAGAGGGTAGAGAAAACTAAACAGAAAGGAAGGAGAAAAAAGAGCTGAGATCCCAGAATGAAAGATGGGATGGGGGGGGGCGGGGGCAAAGACACCAACTTTTACTGAGCCAGACGCACCCATCATTTCAGTGCCCGTATGACTTCCCTCATTATACATACACAAATGGAGAAACTGAGGCTCAGAGAAGTTAAGAGACTGGTGCAGAGTCAGTCTCACAGATGTTGAGTGGCCGAGCTCAGATCTGCAGGGCTCAGTCTCCTTCCATCACACCGCAACCTCTGACCAAAAACTAAAGGAGAAAGGAGTGCAAGAGGAAGGCGGGAGGCAGGGAGCCAGGATGGCGTCCAGTGCAAGAGCAAAAGTGCCCTCAAGCTACCTGACTTTCAGAGAGCAAGGGCGAGGGCTGGGGCGTGCAGAGGGCACCAGGCTTCTCTGGGGTCCCAGCCCTAGTCAACCACAAGGGTCTCTTGGCTGTAGGGGATGGATTTCTCCTGGGTCTGCTCTCCGCCCTTCCCGGTGTTGGGGCCGAGCCCCTGGCTGTGCCCGGAGGAGTAGCTGGCCGACTTCTCCCCACTGCTGCTGTGGGAGGCACCCCCACACCTGCTGTGGCCGCAGCAGAGCATGGAGGTGCAGGCCTGGCGGAAGCGGGGGTCGAAGAAGGCGTAGAGGAAGGGGTTGAGGCAGCTGTTGACGTAGCTGATGCAGGTGCAGTAGGGGTAGACGTTCATGAGGAAGAGGTCGAAGCCGCAGGGCCAGTGCAGCAGGTTGCCCAGCGTGTAGAGCGTCTTCACCAGGTGGTAGGGCATCCAGCAGAGCGCGAAGGTCACCACCAGCACCACGATGATGCTCAGCAGCCGGCGCCGCTTGCGCAGGCCCTCGATGCGCTCCTTGCGGAAGTGGCCCGCGATGGTCTGCGCGATGAAGAAGTAGCAGGTCAGCATGATGGTGAAGGGCACCACGAAGCCCAGCGCCGTGGACGTGACCCCCAGGCCCAGCTCCCAGGCCCACTCCGAGCTGGGGGTGGCCACCATGGAGTAGTCCATGTAGCACTCCACCTTCGTGACATTGTCCGGGCCGGAAGGCACCTCGGCCGTGGCGCGCAACACCATGGCCGGCGTGGCCAG